CAAAATTTGGAGGTTATGTTGAAGTTGACAGAAGTTACCATTTTTTACTAGAAAGCGATCCCGTACTTTTCAATGTTACTCTCTTGCTCTGAGCGAATTTTTATTTTTTGACAGTTTTACTAGTCCGAGTCCGAGGAATACGGGATTGCACCTATTTATTTTGAAAGTGGCATTAAGTCACTTTACCGTAATGAAAAGTGGTGATTTTTCCATGAATGCTTCCAGAGGTATCTATGCGTCACCAGAATTTTACTTTATATGGCTTATACCGCTAGCTCTTTACAAAGGCTGCGAGATCGTTTTCATATGTGTACCCCCATTTTTCATAGGTTTGGGATTGATTTCATTTACCTCTATTCCACGGTGCCATGCCGCATTTTTCCATGAGCTTAAGATTGACTTCATATACATATATCCATACCAAGTTCCAGGACTCTACCACAAATACGTCCAGAGATATGCTCTATGAAAAATTCGGTTTGTATGGGAGGAGAAGCTCGGCCAAACACTAACATATGTGTAAGCGCCAATCTATTATTATGGGAGGTTCCACTCCCAGGTTTTAGCCTATAACCATGCTTGGAAAGTCTGTGTCCGAAATTTCAAAGAAATCGGTACAGGCGGTATGGGCACATTGTGACTCCTCAAGCGAAATGAACTAATGATTGCAAAAATTGAAATGAAACATCGTAGTTGACCAAGAAAGAATATTAGACTTCATTCTCTCAACTTCTCAGAATGTAGAAAAGCTAAAAATATATAATAAGATAGGATATATTAAAACAGCCTCCAAAATATTTACCTGTACTACACAAATCAGTTTGATTGAAAATTGTTATTTATTTATTTATTTTATACTTCACATTTGACTGTGTCAAAATTTCATGTGAAAACAATACATATGTGTTGCTGGAAAAATTTCACGGCTGTTGACAGAATACTAACCTTAATAGCAAAAATATGGTTCTTTATGCTCTAAAAACAATCTATGTGAAAGATGAAAATTTTTGGTCAATTTCTTAGGCTCATCAAAGTTCAATGTGCTCAAAAAAAAAATAATTAATACATTTTTTTAATAAAATTGCAATTATCTTCGAAAGTATTAGTCCTACATAATTGGGTGTACGGTCCTTTTTTGTAGAGAATCGAGATAAGCTAAGAAAAATTTGTTTAGCACTTGAACTATGATGGACTCGGGCGAGCCTAAGATATTGACCAAAAATTCCAAAAATTTCCATCTTTGACACAGATTTTTTTAGAGCATAATGAACCATATTTTTGCTATTACCAATCAAAATTCTAAAAAGGCGGATTTTCGGCCCACACTACTGTGTACTCAAAAAAATTCTAACACTAACTGAGAAAAACTTTTGAAAATTGGTTGATTTAGTTTTCTACAAAGTTTTAAACTTGGGTTTATGTTGGGTTTTGTTAGAGAATAAACTGAATTTTAATTTGCAATTCTTGGAAATAAAAAAAATATGCATAAGTGGCCAACAATATCACTTTGAAATGGGGTGCTATTGATATGACCGATACCGTATGTACATATGTAAGTATGTATGTATGTATGTATGACATATATACTTGCATATGTACCTACTCCATACATATCGCTAGCTAAGAGTGAAAATGGGGGGTTCGGTTATTTCAAATTTTACGATACCATTTTCTTAATTTGGTTTGCAAAATTTTTCAAAGCAAAAAAAGTCCATATAAATCAGTAGGGTTGTTGTATGCCTTCATTGGGCTATTCAATTTTTTTCGAAACGATGCATTTTTAATATTTTTTGCTTCTTTCAACGACATTTAACTTTTGTTAAGGAGTGTACTTGGCAACTTTTCACTCTGAGCTAGAGATTTGTAACTCTTCCGCAGTTGTAAAGGGCAACATGGCGAGGTGGATGGATATGTTTTCACTCTCGAAATCATTCGAATGAGTGGCTTTTTCGTTCATACATATGTATGCACATTAGGGTGGTCCAAAAATTCATGTGGGGGAAAAAATAAAGCCTAGGATTGTTCTATACCGAAAAAATATCGCCTATTTTTATACCCGAGCGCACTTGTGCGCAACGGTTGTTTTTAACAGGCAAAACGAATCGAGATAGATATAGACAAATGTATGCATAAATGATCAGAATGAAGAATTCGATTAAGCGGTGACTGTCTGCCCGCCCGTCCGTCCGTCTATGTACACGATAACTCGAGTAAAAATTGCGATATCTTACCGAAGCTTGGTACGTGCACTTCTTTTGGGGCGTAGGACGGATGGTATTGAAAATGGGCAAAATCGGACAATAACCACGCCTACCTTCCATATAACGGTAATTTTTAGAAATACGAAAACTGCGATATTTTACTGAAGATTATTCACTCAAAATTGATATTTACAATAATTTTTAGACGAAAAATAAGAATATTATAAATTTTTGGAAAATTGGCATAGCCACGCCCACTTATGGTTACATGTGTGCATCTTGGTAACCGCTGCACCAATTTCTTCCAAATTTGGCACACTTGTTGGCCTTGACACAGCATAACAAATGGTTGAAAATTTTTAAAATCGGACAATAACCACGCACGCCCACATAAATTATATAATGGTAATTTAGAGAAATACGAAATCTTCGATAAATCAGTAAATATTAAAGCTAATTTATTAAAAATTGACGCTTGCAACAATTCTTTACCAAGAAATACGTTTATGATAAAATTTTGGAAAATGGGCGTGGCACCGCCCACTTATGATCACATATATGTATCTCGGAAACCGTTCTACCAATTTGTACCAAACTCGGTATGGTTATTGTGCTTGCCACATAAAAGCAAATCGTTGAAAATTATTGAAATCGGTATATAACGGTAAATTTCAGAAATGCTTGAAACTTCGATATTTCGAAATTTAAGGACGTTAATTTACTCAAAATTGATACTAACAACAATACCTTGGAAAGAAGTAGATTATTTGGAATTTTGGAAAATGGGCGTGATACCGCCCACATATGACTATGAATGGTTAAACGAACAATTTGGTATTGTTATTGCAAGTCTCCTGAAGAGAACCATAGTTTTCCTATCGAAAAATATTAGGGGTCTTCCCTTAAACTCGTAAAAGCATCGTAAACCTCGTAAAACTCGTAAACTTACGCAATTTATTTTTTTAAATTCCCTTTATATTTTAAAACCAACTAAGAATGTTATTACAAATATTCAGGGGTTCACAAGTAGACGCTTCAATGCTTTTTAAAAGATTTTTAGGGTATAATAAGAGTCGATAAAATATTTCCTGTTAGTTTAAAAACATTTTGGTGAAGTTACAAATTGCCTTGAAAGGTATTAACCGTTATTTTACGTTGAAACATTTTATGAGTTTAAGACATTTCGACGCTTAACACGTAATTTGATATTTTAAAAAGTTATTACAAATATAATAAGTTATGACTATACCAAATGCTTTGAAACTCAAATTTAGTCAAAAAGTGGAGTTAATCGATTTTGCAAGTGCAGCATTCGTGGGTACTTATTCTACAAGTAATATCTCTAGGAGCTACCCAATCGCTCCGGTCTATTCTCCCAGTTCAATACAAAACATTTTTTGTATGTATGTATGTATATTTATTTAAAATTGAGATTGTTGAGAAATAAATAGTAAGTGGTGTTACGTCATGTGATGAAGAAAAATTGAGGCAGAGTCAAGTGCGCGAGAGGTCTGTTGTGTAGAGCGCCTACTGCACTACACTCTGCGGCGAGCAAAATGTATTCAACATACACCTTGGTGGCGAGGTGCCACCCATTGGGAGTCTTTCGAAAATATGCTGACGTATTTGTTGATTAACGAATGACAACCGCTTTCCGTGGTGTTTTCGTACATTCAGTGTTCGTCTAGTATTCCACACAGCCGGTTGCTTATAAACAAGCGAAAAGTACTGTAGTAAAGATAACAACAAAAGTCATAAGCTAGTATATAAATGCATTTTCGGCATTTATCATTTTTGTTGTTATTGTTGTTCTAAATAACTCAGGTAATTGTTGTTGCATATTAGCATCGGTCTATAGTGGAGCGCTTTACGTTTTGTATGTACATATTTACAACTACACAATTATATTGACTGCGAATAATTGGGATCAACAAACAAGTCAATAAAACCTAGACAAAACGGAGATCAACAAACTGCATACTTGGCCGGACATTAAAATACATACATACATATACATGTGTATACAATTAAACAACGAGCAGAGTCATGAATTCAATAATTAGATTTGTAAGTTCTGCAAAATATCCGGCTGCTATAAAAACGTCATATTATACCGGATTAAATGCCTGTTTAAATTATACGAGCATCGCAACAGGTGTTGTTGAGCCAAAGCGTCAGCCGTTAGACGAAACACCGGTGGGTGCGAAAACAAACACAGCAAGAACTGCCACTCCAAGCCACGTACAACGAGAAGCCAAATCGGTTAGTAAATATGTCCAATGTAAGCATGTGAGTGCCATTCCAAATCAAATGTAGTAGGTAAACTTCTTTCCGTAGGACTTCGATTTGCTGAAAGTTTGCACATAGCCTAATTTCATACTAAAACTGATAGAAATGGATTTAAAAATTACAAAAATCAAGCTCATCTTGAGTCCATTTGATTTGCTAAATTTTTAATATCTTATTTTTGCATACATACAAAAAAATATTTAAAAAATATGGCCAACTTATAATGAAATTTGGTGACCTTTTGCCACATTCCACGTTCATATTTACAAAAAAAATTAAAATAAAAAAGTAATACATTTTTAACAGTTTTTAGGCCGTTTTGCAAGCCTTTTTTTTAATTTATCTGCCCTTCGGTATGTGGTCGGGCTATGTAGAAAATTAAAGGACATCGCTCAGAAAATTATTGATTGAATTGATTATTAAAGAATTCGGAAAAGGAAGATTTAACCCCAACGAATGTTTTTATCTAGTGAGAGAGAGGCTGACCACGGAAATGTCATCATAATATGAAAGATAATTATCCTTCTTGGTATAAATATGGATTAGCGGTATAATTATTAACTCTTTGACATTATTTTTATAATTATGGAGTCGAGTGTAAGTTCAATTTTTTTCTTGTTTTGGGCTGTTTGTAAATTGACGGAAATGATTTATCCATCGGTCTCACTGAGCGGATAACATTGATTATTGCCAATATGTTGTGTAAAAGCCAAATTAACTTCAAAATCCGTTTAAGTATAGAAATCGTGGCCAGTTTCTCATTTCAGGATTAGTTAAGAGATAACATGACAATTATTTCGACTGTTGATCAGTACAATATTTAATATTTTCTTTTCGTTAAAGGTTAAGCCGATAAGCATTCAACCATTGACAGACACATTTGGACGGCACCACACATATCTGCGGATCTCATTGACCGAGCGCTGTAATTTGCGTTGTGAGTAAGAAGAAAACCACAATCAAAAATTATTTTCACAAGATTTATTTGAAATCATTATAGAAATGAAAAAGTTATGAGTGAATGGAATGAGCTATTTGGAGATGCATAGATTTTGGTTGAATTTTTGTTCCAATACTTATTAAATAACTATTTCAATTGATACTAAGTGGATGTTAGATAAGATAACGTACATACGAGTATTACTTGCATAGAGCACCTAAATACTCCATGTATGTATGTACATATAAGTAGATACATACTTATATGGAAAAATTATAATGGTATTCACCAAAGTGACTGTTGGCAACAATCGTTGCTTGAGCTCATCTGCTCTTTTGCCAGATTGCCAGGCCACTTGCTCAATTCGGTGAATACAACTTATAATTTTTTTGAAATTATTAATAAATCTTAACTCTTTTATACATATGTATTTTTAGGCCAATACTGCATGCCAGCGGAAGGTGTACAACTACAGCCAAAATCGAATCTTCTAACCACTGATGAAATACTTTACTTGGCTCGAATATTTGTTGAACAGGGAGTTCGTAAAATTCGTTTAACTGGTGGTGAACCTACGGTACGCCGAGATATAGTTGACATCATTGGTAAGCAGACAAGCGACTATGCATTAAGGAGGATCTACAACGTGATACTCTGAATAGAAGAGCGTTTCAAATAATGCAATCTAAAGTCAAAGCTTTAAAACAACCACTTCACAAAAAATCTAATTATTCCATTTTTTATATACATACATACATAAATTGCAGCCAAAATAAAATCTATACCTAGACTTGAAAATGTGGGTATAACGACTAATGGACTTGTATTAACACGTCTATTATTACCAATGCAACGCGCTGGACTCGACGCAGTAAACATCAGTTTGGACACATTGCGCCCCAAACGTTTCGAAGAAATCACTCGGCGAAAAGGGTGGGAACGGGTTATAGCAGGTATTGACTTAGCCATACAATTGGGCTTTAAACCGAAATTGAATTGTGTACTAATGCGCAATTTCAACGATGATGAGATTTGTGACTTTGTTGAATTCACCAAAGATCGGGCAGTGGATGTTCGATTTATAGAGTATATGCCGTTTACCGGTAATAAATGGCAAACCGATAGATTGGTCTCCTATAAGTAAGTATGTTTGTATGTATAGGTATGTATTAAGGTGCATAATTTATTGTTTTGTTTTTGTAATAGTGATGTTATTTTATGATGCTTATGACAAGCCTGTATAATATTACTCAGTATATGTTTTAGTAACTACAAAAAAAAAGAAACAGAAAAATGCACATGGATGTATGTATATCAAAGAGAAATGGAGCGTAAATATTTGGTGCTTTGCATTAGTTTAAGCAATTGCTTTATAATTGCAGAGAAACATTGCAGATTATACAGAAGAGATGGTCGAATTTTCAACCTTTACCAAATGGGCCAAACGATACTTCAAAAGCTTACGGCGTGCCCGGTTTCGAAGGACAAGTGGGTTTCATTACCTCGATGACTGAACACTTCTGTGGTACCTGCAATCGCTTACGCCTGACTGCTGACGGTAATATTAAAGTTTGCCTTTTTGGAAACAAAGAATTTTCGCTACGAGATGCTATACGTGGCAATTGTTCTGAAAAGGATCTGATTGATCTAATCGGAGCAGCCGTTAGCCGAAAGAAAAAACAACATGCCGGTAAGTAAATATTTCGGTCTTATTTTTTGTGATTGTTTTATCACAAGGAAACAGCATATCTCTTTTTAATGATAGATTCGTTGTTTTGCAATCCTTTATTTATAAGTAGTCATTGGGTGATTCATCCATTTTATTTGCGTGATTGCAGGCATGTTGAATTTGTCACAAATGGAAAATCGTCCAATGATTCTAATCGGTGGATAGTTTTATACCATATTAATAATGTGCGCTCTCTCATACCAACGACCAATGGCTTAAATATACCAGTAAGGTTAGTTTAGAATAAAATTAACCACCGCATTATAATTTTGCCTAAGCATTAAAACATTTCATTCATACACATACAATACATAAATAGTACGTAAACATTTGGTTATTTTGGTTAATTTTTAGGAAATCGCTTACATCATGATATTGGCGAAGCACGAATATATAACAAATACAAAATTTTTGAAAATCAGCCACACCAACGGATCATTTCGCAAAACGGACACAACGGCATTTCATTACCTGTTTTCACTAGTCTCATTAGCACACAGTCAGCAACAAAATATTGTGCACAAAAACGAAGATTTGGGACGACGAACTCAAATGGTTGTATGACTAATAGTAACAGCGGTAACAATTTAACTCATGTAGATAAGTCTGGCAAAGCACAGATGGTGGATGTCACAGAGAAACAAAGCAGCCAACGCGAAGCAGAAGCTCGTGCCACAGTTGTAGTGGGATCGGCTATTGCTGAACTTATACACAAGAACACCATGATTAAAGGCGACGTACTCAGTGTGGCCCAGCTGGCTGGGATAATGGGCGCCAAACGAACTTCGGAACTTATACCTCTTTGTCACAACATTACATTAACGTCAGTTAAAGTGGAAGCGAAACTAAATCTGCAAACAAATTGTGTGGAAATTTACGGTCGAGTAAAGTGCACAGGGCAAACGGGTGTGGAAATGGAGGCACTTACTGCTGTCACATTGGCGGCACTTACAGTCTACGACATGTGCAAGGCCATTTCGCATGATATAACAATAACAGATGTAAAACTCTGGGGCAAAAGAGGTGGTAAACGGACTTTTGAACGCAGTTAGGACAAAACATAACAACTTAAAAAAAATATGATCTTGGAGTATACATCCAATAGGGCTGTTCAGGATCTTGCAATGCATCTTCGGAACATTTGTAAATTTACAACAATAAAATTAAAACGGTTGCCATGGTAGCAAACACAAAATTTTCAAACGCGAATGCAAATGCAAAACCAAGACTATTGGCACAAAATCCGGAACCACCCTATTATTTATTAGGTACTGCTTTCAGCATCAAGCATAGACCACAACGATTATAAGAAATGAAATTAATAGCCCAATTCTGTATCGGTGACAAAGATTTTTTTACTGACAAATTTTAATTTTTTCATATATTTTTCCGTAATAAAAACTGTGACAAAATTCATCACTGATACAGAATAGAGCCGTAAATGTTGCTGTATAATTATTACTGAACAATAGAAAAGTTGTTTTCGTCTCCAGAGACGAAAATCGTTAGATTGAAAACTTTTTCATCTTCTAATAATTATCTGGGACTTTTACTTTTTTTCGTCTCGCGGACGAAGACGGAAATGATTTACGTCTCTTTACATGTAGACTTTTGAAAGTGTATAAATAAGTATAACATTTGATGCTTTTTTCAGAATATAGAAAGATTTTGCACTGTATTGTTAGTGGACATGAAACTACTTTAAATACTGGTACGTTACTTTGCAAGTGGACTACTCATATTTACGCTTAATTTCGTGTAACAATCAGGGTGCGTTCGGAAATGCATCAAGCCAAAGCATCAGAGTCTTTTATATCTAAACTATAACTGATGGATATGTCTTATTTGCGCAACTAAGTTCCAATTCGGCTTTTAACCGTGGTTGCGCATATTTGACATTTCCATCAATTAAAGTTTAGAAATAAAAGAGACTGCTACTTTGGCTTGATGCATTTCTAAACGCGCCCTTAAATTAAGAGAAAACGAGAGACGTCATTTTCGTCTTAAAATAAACGTACAGAGAGACAAGAAAACTAAAAGTCCCATATACATACATATGTAATTAATATGAAAATAGGTAAATTATTTCCGTCTTAAAATAAAACGTCCCAGAAGACGAAAAATAAATAAAAGTGCCGGGAGCACTCCATAATCGATCCCGACAAGACATAATCCAGACATTTTTTAAAAATCCAGACAATAAAAAATCCAGACAGGACATAATACGAACATAACAAAACCCAGAGCAAATAAAATACAGATAACACATTATTCAGACAAGACAAAATCCCGACAAGACACAATCCAGCAAAAAAAAAAAATTACAATGCTTCCGGCATTGAAATTGATGACTTATGCTTAAATATAGACGGTTACCACTCCACATTTTTTCGCTCCTTCACTGCAAGGAGCCTAACCCTCGCCCCTACAAAATCCTCGGCAACCATTTTACCGAATGCTGCGAATTCTCGTCGATGGCAAATAAATTCCGATGGTGAATAACCGGAGAATTGTCGGATCTAGCTCTCGTTCCCGGCGCATACAACTGAGATTGCGAACAAAGTACAGAGCCGTAGCAAAGTCCTCAATTTCCCGATTCGGCAGTACTTGAGCAAAGACAAAGAAACGGTGTTGCAAACATACAAGGCAATTGGCCGTCCGGTTCTAAATTATGCAGTGCCTGTGTGCTCGCCGGGGACAATTGGTTCGCAGTGGACGAAACTACAGACATGCCACAATACAACACCCCGGAGAACAAGGGGATGCCTTCTGATGCCACATCTACAGTGAAGCCGAAATTCTATCGGTAAGGGGCACAACATCATTCTCAGCAAGCAGTTCCTAGTAGGGTGCTACAGATGTCAGCACTCGAACTTGCTTGAGCTGAAGGACCAGGTCCAGCACTACGCACAGCACCCCTGGGATTAGGACTGTACAGACAGGGTATTAACGGCATTTACAAACTCCAGTCGAGTGAATGCCGTCATCCGTGGCAATCACCACCTGCGAACGAGAGTCAGCTTCAACTGCCTCGAGATACCCACGTAACTCTGGCCCAACTCGCCTCCCAACATCCCCCATGGCACCAAGCACCTCTTCACATGCCCACTCAATCCAACTCAACTAACATGCCTCTCCCTCTGGTTCTACCTAATAGAAATATCAAGTTTCCTTGGCCTACCGTTAGTTGAGCCTGTGGACAATTAAGGGCTAAGTAAGGCCTTACAACAATAACAACAACTGTGTCTTTAATACATTATTTTTGAAAATCCCGACAAAATATAAAAATCGCGCGATTTTTTTAATTATTATTTTTTTTTGTCGCGATTTCTTGTGTGGATTGTGTCTTGTCGGGATTATATATGGTCGGGATTTAGTCGTGTCTGGATTATGTCTTTCGGGGTTCTGTATTTCGGTATTTTGTATATCAGGATTTCATTATACACCCAAAAGTCCCATATAATTATTATGAGAAGACGTAAATAAATAAATAATCGTCCCGCGAGACAAAAAAATATATTTCTTATAAATTATTATTATACAAAGGCGAAAAAAAATTTCTTTAGAACAAGGTGACGTTTTTGATCCCCAATATGTATTAGGATAATAACTATTTTGGGTCTGATATAAAGTGGTGCTTTTTTAAGTGAAGTAAGAAAAAATCGTGGGGTTGGTTAGAATATAGATTTAGCATTAAGTGTTCAGCTGGCCTGTTGTTCTCCTTATTATAACTACCTTTGGAAATTTGAAATATATATTTATACTGAGGAATAAGGGATTATAAATTATATTTGTTATTCATGAAAAACATTTTTAATTTAAAAGTTTTTAATTAAATATACACGTTCATTTTTACTCAATGCATGTTTAATTTCCTCCCGTCCATTTTTTAAATTATGATGGGAGCAAGTTTAGTTTCAATTAATCGAAAGAAAACTTATCTTTGCAATGGAACTTCATCTTACTACCGAATCAAAATGCAGTTTTTATCTTTTTGTTATTTGTGAACGCCCACTGTATCATTCGGTGGACGATAGTTGACTGGGCAGAGCACCTCATATTGATTGCCCGCATCACAGAGTTACCCCTAATTTCATTAATTCGACACTAAAACATTTCGATTTTCCGATTTTTTCTCTTCCTCTTCACTCTTTGGTGTTTCATTGGACATTTGCTCTCCCCGAATCTTAATATTGTGTTGTTCTTTAAATTTATTGATCTGTTGTCCTTTAGCGGTGAGGTCTTCGTTTACGCGTGTGATTGTTTTCTCGATGAAGTCTTTGTTTTCAATTAACTGCGGTAGAACATCCTTAACAGTTCGCTCTGCCAAGACACCACCGATCAGTCGAAAACATTTGCGCTCTGGATCCACTGTTTTGAGGGTTTCTATCACAGTTCTAAAAGAAATTCAATTAGGCATATGTACTGGAATTGATTTGATAGCGAATTGAAAACCATTTGAGGTTATGTTGTCATACATACTTGTGTTCTTTCAAATCCATCTCCAGCGTATTTAAATTGTTTACAAGGTTTCGTTGTTCATTTCTGAGCTGTTGGAACTCTCCAATAATCTTCTCGTTCAATTTGGCTTCCTTGGCTTGCTCGCTGGCCATTGTTTTCTGTGATTTTATTAACAGATGCACGAAAAACAGCAATCTTCCTCGGCAAATTCGCGTCTGGTAGTGATTACTAATTTCAGCAAAATGTTTGACAGTGCGAATTCGCCCCAACAGTGATGAAAAGTGGAGTCAAACAAGGCGAATTTAAAACAAGGTGGTGTTACCGGAGCGGCTGTTTTCATGTCGAGTTTGAACTGTTTGTTAAAATTATGTGTTTGTTGTAATCAAGACGTATTAAACAAGGTGGTGTTAGCCGTATATAAGTAAAAAATTACACTAACAAATTGTAACGTGGTTGAAAATAAAATTAAAGTATTACGCGTTCTATAAACATAAAATAACTTAATTGAAAATATTATTTTTTTTTTTAATGGTGAAGCTTGCGACTTATACCTTGGTTATAATGCACGGGGCGAATCGTAACAAATCGCGGCGAATTCGTAAGGATGTATTGATTTTAGATGCTTCCGTTCTACATTGCGTTCAAATGCATTATAATCGTTTATTGCCCATACAATAGATAATTAAGTGACAGTTCACTGCGTTCCGTTACTTCCATTATAATCCAGGAATATGACTACCATCAGCGTTTGCAATAATACCTTAAAAGTAGAACGTCAGTATAGGCCAACCCTAAAGCTGCCTTTAGATTACTCTGGAAAAATCGCTCGTGTAAATGGTGATTCAAAAATCGCATGCCTCAAAGTAGACAGCAAGTGAACTTTTGAAGGCGATTATCGCCTGTAAAAAAATCGTCTCATGTAAAAGCAGCTTAAACCGAAGGTAAGGCGAATTCCAAAAATAATCTATCTGGTAGCGCCTTTAGAAATCGCCGCTAAATAGGCGAGATTTGTCATTGGATTCCGTGTTATCAATTTACAATTAATAATTTATTGTTGAGTTATAAAAACTTATTTTTTTATATTTAGTGATTCAGAGCATCTACGCGAAACGCTTAAAATGCTTCAAAACGTGATTGACTTCTGCAATTACTGGTGGTTCCGATATCTTATGGTCACAGAGCTATATATGGTCGAAAAATGGGAACGGGTTACAATTCGTAAGCTATCTTTTACCATATGCCACGATAATAAATATTAATCCAAATCGATTTCAACAGATGTGATTTTTGCAATACTCTTTTGCCTGTTTTGGTACTTTAACTATTCAGTGCTTTTATCGTTTACGGGTAGTGTACTAGGTATCACTCCTATCTCCAGCGTTGTGGACCAACACGGTAGCAAAATTGTGTAACTATAGCAATTCCATGATTGGAGGCAACTGCTGGCAATCACTGACGGAAAAATAGCGCATATACCTGCATACCTAGGCACAGAAAAATTATTTAACTCTTAGTCAAGAAATCACTTCATTATCAGAATACTGCATTCAAAAGCTTCGACATATAACGAATGAGAATCCCGTATCCTACCAGCGACGCCAAGCCAGTAGGCCGCTTTCATTGTTATAGAAAGGGACAAAAAGTAAATTTCCATATATACTTTTATTGACTTTCCAATGCTTATCAAATAGTTAAAGCTGAATTTATTTAACAAATATTTAGTTGTTTGTAACACATTCATGTTATTAATCAAAACGCGTAATTGCCCCGTAGCCGTGTAAACTCGTAAATAAACTGGTTTTCCGTACAAAATTGAGCAAGTTTGCGAGGCTTACTTGGTTTCGCGACATTTACGCCCATAAATGAATTGCCCTATTATTTATTATGCAGAAATGGAAAAGTATCTAATCCAATATAACAAAACAGCAGCACACTTCAGTTCGGAGATAAGTTTAAATACAAACTTCTAAAAGTATTATTATCAATGGAACTCGCATTATAGAATATGTTACTAATTATATGTATATTATAGCATCTTGTTTATGAGAATTTACGTAAGCTCTTGCAAGTTAAACTGAATTACCACTATCCAATTTTAAGTACACTTAAATGAATGTACATTCATTCGGATAATATATTATTGCGTGACATTGCAAATGTATATGCAGAACCATGATTATGTTTAAAATAAACAATAAAGCACTTTGTAAACGCCTAATTGTAGTTCTTACAAATTTTATTATTCACATACCAATGTACATGCATGCGCTAAAGACATTTTAAGAGCAAAATCTCGGGCAAGTATATTTTATCAATTTCTTTTTCAACAAAACGTTCATGTCTCTCTTTCAGCACAGCAGCATTCAAATTAAAATCTGACTTTAAAAAATGTATACTTGCCTTGTCTTCACTTACATGTATATTATAGTATTTACAATCAGCTAATAAATCATCTATATGCTCATGTATTACAAGTTTGCTTAAGAAAATAGCAGGTACCACCAGTTGTTTACTGGTATATGCGTGTGCAAATACTAAGTACACCTTGCTGTAAAATGAAAAATATGTAAACGATTTACATTATGATAAATATTCAATATATACCGCCTTAGTATTTGCAACTTCAAAGCCGCTATTGCACTTAAAATATGTGGAAGCTTCTGTATTCCGGAAAGGACTCTATAGAAATTTCCTTGATGATAGCTTATAGCTATTTTATATGCTAAATCGAATGTTTCGCTTTCTCTAAAATTTCAATTAGAAATACATTTGTATTAATGGTATGTAGGTTTTTGTACATTTGCATCCAAAATTTACCTTACTTCTTGTGGAATACTCAATGCACGATTTAGCGCGTCTATCGTTCCTAAATTGAAGAGAAGATACATCGCCTCAACAAAATTACGCTTTCTTAACTCGTTTAATTTCATACTGCTCACATCGATATCATCGTAGCAACATAGAGCGCGTTTCAAGCACTCCTGCAGATGTTGATTGCAAATTTTCGTATCAAAATTATCTATTTGTTCTTCACAAAGTCTAAAAACTACAGAAAGTAATGAAGTGTTTTTGGCAAAGAGAATACATATACCTGTAACGACTATAAGCCAAAAACATGACCATTGGTTCAAGTAACTTCAAAGTTTGGCGTTCATTGTACTGCTGCATTACCACCTCCTGTCGAACTGCGCGCAAGCGATCGAATATGAAATCGTAAGCAAAGTTATACGGCTTTCGTTTGTCTAAGATTATACTAGAAACAACATCAAATAAGCAGATACGAAAAAGCCTCCCGAAACTGGACTTACTCTTTTAATAAGTATTCCACAGTTTTTTGCAAGCATCGTTCTGTGCGTAAATCCTTAGCTCTGGGTGCCCTCACGCCAGCAGCTGACCGAGCAAAAGATTTCACCAGCATTCCTGGAACATTTTTCTCGCCGTTTTTCCATTCATAAAAATGTAGAAGTCTCTCCTTAATTCGACTATGATTAGAGGGATATACATACAAGTAAATATTTTTAGCAGTTCTCAGCTTGGATACAATTCCATAAATCGCACTTACAGTTTTGCTTCTACTTCTGGGCAAAGTAAGTCGCAAGTTCCTAAATGAGAAAAATTGTTGCCGGTACTAAAAAGAGATTATAAAATATACAATCCTACCTGTAATACTGTTGGACATTGATATTTACGTAGTTTGTAATTTTTTTGGTAAGCAGACGACCAAAGGGATAATTTAATAAATTTGTTGTTGTAATTTTTGTTTTTGCTCAACCCGATTCAAGGCGAATTATACACGGTGGTGTTCAAGGCGAATTTATATAAGGTGTGTTCAATGCGAATTTATTTAACGTGGTGTTCAAGCCGAATTTATATAAGGTGGTGTTGATGGCGAATTTAGATTTTCGCCGAGGTACGTCTTAATGTCAAAATGATGTGTTTGTTGTAAAATGAATTCGCCTTGTTTACGACAAACACATCATTTTGACATTCAGTAGTGTCGCGGCTAAAATTTAATTCGCCATCAACACCACCTTGTATAAATTCGCCTTGAACACCACCTTGCATAAATTCGCCTTGTTCGTGAACACTACCTTGTATAAATTCGTCTTGAATAGGATGTTCAAGAGCTAAAAAATATTTTTTTGACTGGCAATTTGTTTACTACTGTCCTGAAGGCGATTTGGTATAATCATCCGATTTAAAAGAAAACGATCAATATTTAAGTAAATTACACCGCCTTCAGTAATCTTGATTCTGTTTGTAATGGCAAACAAAACAGAATACAATGACGACACAACTGCTGCCCAAATACAGGATCAAAACGCCTTGCTGGATTCGCCTATTCGTGGTCCCACACTCTCAACAAGTACATCAAGTTTCGAAGCTTTAGATCCACATGATCCCAACCTGAGCAAGCTTGCAACAAAAATGTTTCGAAAAACAGAGGAATATATATGCAACGAACTTAATGCACCTCTCGAAGACTACAAACTATTGGAGGAAATGAATAAAGCTACGGTGGCCAAGTATTCGGATATGCACCAAATAGCCGAGAATTTAAACGTATCTACAAACGAATTAAGCATAAAGTTTCAGCAACTGGTATTTGTAAACGAATTTAATGTTTAAACTATTCTAACGAAAACATTTCTATTCTCCAAGGTTCCCCTCATGAAACAAATCGATGAAATATCGGATACAGTTGACAAATTGGAGGCTGCCGCCTATAAATTAGATGCTTATAGCATTGCTCTTGAAAACCGTGTGAAATCAGTCCTTCAGCGGAAATCAACAATGCATTAAAACTTTTTTCATTTAATATAACATTTTAGATGTACGTAGTAAAATTAATGTAAAGCTCTCCCCTATCCAAGTATCAATTTGATGAGTATGGCAAGAATGTTGAGGAATATAAGTGGTACTAGAAAGAAAATGTGAAAATGAACTTTGTGTGATCAAAGTTTGCGAAAACTTACTTTTTGCCACGGTACGAATTGAGCGGATCAAGTTAAGAACCTGTGCCTTCGCCGTAGGTTGTCCGAAATCTTGCATATTGGCCGCTTGCGCACCCCAGCCAACTAAAAGAAAGATTCAATCAAAATGAACACGTCAGTTGAGATTTACTCACATTTCGCAAGAAAGCGCTCCTCATGTAACACGCACACTGCATTTAAGCACAGTAAAGATGCCTCGACAAGAGTCCATAAAGTAAACATTTTGTTAATAAAATTAACTTTGGAAAACGATGACAACGTATTGCGAATTCGCTATTCCAAAATGTCCCAAAATCGGGAGTTACCAGACTTTTAAAATGAGGCCCTGTGTCAATTGATAGTGTGGCGAATATTGCGGCAACGCGAAGCGAACAACGAGAAAATGGCAGAATGTTCGAATGAATAGTCGATGTTCAGACACGGAAACCTTTGTTGCGGCAACTCGAAGCTTGTAGGGGCAGAGCGACGAGGAAAGGGGACGGGTACGAGTTTCTCGTTCTCGAGCAGCGTTGCCACTAACAAATTTTTTTCTCTACAAATTTTCTTCCCAAGTCCGACCAAAATCATTTACAACATACCAAATAAGTTTAAATTGGGTCATTCCATTGAAAGGAGGAAAACGACAAATTTAAGTATGCCCTATCTATCTGTATTATCATTACATAGTGTAAGATCTATGGCTTTCCTACGGGTTTTTTTTTAAACAAAAGTAGGTTCTGAACTCCTACAACCTATCACTAGATTAGTTGTTAAGAGGTAGTTAAAATAGAGGCCTCGACTATTGATCGGGAAGCTCGAACCCACTGCACGCGGTGAACGTTAGCATCGCCTCTGATAAGAACCAAGCCTGTGCTGTATCCGTCCATCAGTCTGCGAAACAGAGATTGCGGAGGATCATCAGCCTCATAGGTCATGCAAAAGGAAGCCAGCGCAATCGATGCGCCATTCAACTCTGCCATTACAAAGGTTCTGATTTTATCTCTATTTCGATCCACCAGATGCTCGAAACCTGCCGTGCCCAGGCCACATACCCTTTAGTTGTTCACCGAAGCTTCCTGGATGAGTGCTATATCGACGTCGCCTCTTCGACCCGTAGGACCCTCCGATCGGTCGTTGGAAGAGCCAGTCCACCACTTCCCGATTTTCTCCGGCGGCATTATGCAGTGTCACCGAGCTCGAAACATCGCAAGCCACCACCTTGGGTTCTCCAACGAGAAGTCAAAAAATGACGTTTGCTAGAGCCGCCTGCATCCACCTCCATTGGCCCCGAGGGATGGAGCCGAGTGCTATAAGTCGTACAGATTATTTGCTCGATGAACACTTATTATGTGTATTGACTATGAATATTGTCACTGTCACAAATTAGGAGTTTCGATTTAAAATAGGAACTTTTTCGTAAGGATTATTTTTATTTCAGGTAAATTTTGAGGGTTTTTTGCGAAGGCATGCACTTTGTGCTATATAAATTTGTTGTAAATAAATTTTCCTAAAGTTATTTCAACTCATAATTTTGTATTTTAATAAAAGTGAATGTCTCTATTCAATAATTAGTAGATTTTTTTCGCCAAAATGATATGATTTCGTCGTAGAGCAGGTTTCCTGACTGAATAGCCATAAAATGCTTCAGCGAAATCTATTTTTGACTAATCAACATCAAAAAGAATGTCCCATCCAAAGGCACCGGTTGATCAGAGAGAAAGGCGCC